GTAGTTTTACTAGGTGTAAAAAAGTAGACACATATTAAAATTAGCTCATGTTAGTGGATTTAAATATATTAATTTATGTATACAAAAAATGTAGATAAAAATAATTATTTACAGTAATGAATTTGACATAAAATCACTACAATTTAAATTTCATAAATAAATAGTAATTGATAAAAATCAGATTTTGTAATAATCTTTTCCAATTTAAGCATAATTATATCATCATTGTATAATATACCTACTTCATTTCAAAAAGTAGTTATTATTGAACATTTAATTCTATATCGGCATTATACCATAAGCTCTGAGACATTGTAAATATTCTATACTTCTAAAGAAAAGTAAAATATTAATGTATTCTATAGCTGTAGTCTGAAATAAATATTTTTATTTTTCGATTTTCTTACCAACTAACAATAAAACAACTTTGACATCACATCTATAATTTGTTCACTTCAATTGTTCAACATAAAATATTTTGTAAATAATCAGAGTATGACGTATACTCCTGGTTTTCACAGAACTTATAAATTTTATGAATTTACATTTACTTATATATATTCCTAAATTTTGGGATTCACAACAAATGTACTTCAAGGAAGTTTGTAAGTAGGTAGGTGGGTAACTATGTAACTGATTGTTCAAGATTTGTGATGTGCCAATTAACTAGCAAATAGTTAAAATAAGTTAGGTACTATTTAATAGGTATACTTATCAATTTATCATCATACAAGTTATTTTTCAACATCACATTAAGTTTTGTTTTATTATCTCTTTATTATATTGTATTATAACTGTGGTTAAAATATTTAATATAGACTATAGAAAAAATACATCAAATTTCCTAGATTATTCGCTTTGCCGGTAACTTGTATAATATATAAAACAATAGTTATTATAAATTATGCAGTACTTATATATTATTAATTATTATATCGTAAACTGCTTAAAAAGTTCAAAACAATTATTTACTGTCAACAATTTCCTTACGGATGATAAAAAATAAATTTTCTTTTACTAACTGTGTATTAATAATTAGGTAAGCAACTAAAAAGGATGATTATATTAAGTAAATTAGTGAAATAAAAGAGTTCTTAATAAATGATAATAACTTGTATACATTTATTATTTTAGAACTTTAAAGTATCGAATAATATTAAATAATTTACAATTCAATACTTCAGCTGAAACAATCTATGCACTCTTAGATTACCATCTATATGACGATTACCGTCAAGTTAACAACGATGATATTAAAAATCACAGTATTATGATTTAAACAGTAAAATATCGAGTCATTAACAAAACCAAAAAAATAACAATACAAACCGTTGATGCCCTGCAGGTTGAGAAAAGATCCGGTGTTGGTGACGGTGAAAACGTGGAACAACGACACGACATAGGCGCCGAACGTACGCATCTCGAGGACCGGCGAAAATTCACCGACGATTTAGGAAAACGAACAGGAAGTGGACTTGAAAACCACAGTATGATAAAATTTCGATGTACAAAAAAAAGGTAAAGTCACAAAGACAATCACGACGGCAACGACGATTAAAGACTCGACATTTGTATATATATATTTTTTTTACATAATGTTTCGACGCATGATTATTGATCCGGTTGCGATTACAGTAAAATAATTACATATCGTAAGGCTCTCGCGAGTGCCCACCCGCTTGAAATATTACGCACCTTCGGATATATAATAAAAGTAAAAAGTATCGCCACGTCTTGTCGTATTGACGTGCCGCGTGCTAAAGACGTGTGCTGCAGACTTATCGGCACGATCTACACTATGCGACGGTATAATATAGTTTAGAGCGTTCAGGATATAAAATGTCGTAAATTGGCCAAGTATCCATAATAATTAACGTTCGTACGACGGTAACAGTAATAATAATATTATCTACCACTACCACTCCTGTGCCACTACACCACGATACCTATACCTACATTATAATATTATGTACCACTACCACGTTGCTGTAGGTACAATATACCTGTACCGCCACCGAGAAACCACCCGACCATTCATAATTCAGCATATCACAAATCGTTGTCGGGCGTGAAATCGAGCTCGCACACACTCGCACATTGTCTTGGGCAGCAGCGATATAAAAAAAAAATCGATGAAAAAAATCATTCGAACGCGTGCCGCCGCCGCCGCCGCCGAGGACAGACAGATTGGCGGCGAAACGCCGAAACCTCGTGCGTTTTTAGTCGAAACGTGTTGTACTTTACGGACTCGGCGAGTTATCCCGAAAAAAATCTACGCCTAACCTAGGACGACGACCAGTAATTAGTTACACGTGTGTCAAATAGTTACGTAAATGGGTTACATCATTGTACGTTTGTACTCACAACTACTTGTATTTATATTATTTTCATTGTCACTTTTTATCGAAAGTATCATAGTACCTATAATAATACGTTGCCTTTAAATTGTAAATAATTAAATGATTCAACGATTTCAGTGAATATATTGCAATTTTGATTACATTTTGTTTATATAATACTGGTTACTTTACCAGTTAATTAATTTAATTATAATTTAATCACCTACCTACAAACAGAATATTTTTTAACTTTTTTTAAAACAGATATAACTTTTCTGCTATGCGCGTGTACGTACACTATACGGCATATTTTTCAATATATCTAAAACCGTGTTAACTTAGTTAGATATAAGTTAAAATTGAGAAACTTGTATTTTTCTGCAAAAAAAGGCTTTAAAACGAGTAATTACTGTTCTCCCGTCTATATAAATTTATTTTCATTAATGTCTAAATAAACAATAAACATTGGTCAATATATAGGTACTAAGAAAAATTCGTGGGCCAAATTTTACAATAATCTGTCTCAACGTTTTTAGTTTTTACATGTTGAATATATATTAACTTCAAGTTTTAACTCATTATCACTTATACAGTCTATTAGCTATCTTTTATTGCATGGAATTCAATGTTTCATTATTGTCAGTAGAAAAATGTACATTTGTACTATACACCAACCCATGTTTAAAATTATACAGCTGATATTATTTAAACACGAAATCATAACATACGCGGTGCTAGATATAGGTAACAGGTTAGATATTGCAATATTTAAATCAGATATCTATGTACGGCGAACCTATGTTAATGCGCACGACGTCTAGCTATTTAATGGTAGATTGAACGTTTTGCAACGTTTTAGTTCTGGTAAAAAAAAAATGCTTGTACAGAAGGACGAAATAAGTTATCGTGTGTATAGGTACGAGGACTCCGTAGAAGGTGAAGGTCTCCAGAAAAGTGAAATCTATATAGGTATAAATATTTATATTATATCACTATATATTATGTAGATATAGCGTTTGATCTAATTGTGTTGCGCTGTGCATGTATATCACTATAGCTACATCATTATTAATTTATTTTGTAGATACATGAGCTGTAATAAATTGCCAAACACTATATTATGATAATTTCAAACAATAGTTACTAATGTTATTATCAATAGTTCCTATAATTCTATAACATAAATTTAGTGACGGTTTAGAAATATGTTTAGGTATTGTTTTACCAATAAACTCTTTAGGCACATTGCAAGTATAATTTGCTACACAAAACACTCACTTATACGAAATTCTTTAATTTATAAAATTTTCTTAGGTATGTAGTACTTAATTAAATATTAGCTAAGTAAGTTTTTTTTGAGATAATAGCCGATAGTTTATTTTTATGAAAAAACAAATTAGGTAGCTAAGTATCTTCATAATATTTTTCAAATTATTTATTATTTTTCTTAATTTAATATAAATTCCCTTAACCACGACCATGATTAAATTACTTCAAATATTTAAAGAAAGAAGGTGGACAAGTGGGTACCGCCATGTACTGTAGGTGTTGTGTGGGTCACTGACCACTGTCAGGCAGTGGCAATAAATAATTATTTAACGAAAAATTAATAAGTACATAAAAGTTTGTGATACCTAATATAACTGTATTATAATAATCATAAACAATAGAAGAAACAAATGTTGTCTTCTTTTATTATGTTTATTTTGAATTAAGTATTAAGGTATAAAAACAATTAGCAAAAAAAGGTTTGAAAAAGATGTTTTGACTGCGAATCTTTGACACATAAATATTAAAATATATGACACGTTGGTAATTTCTGTAATGGAATAGTTAAATTTGAATTCAATGATATAAGATCATTGTATTCCCAAAACCATTCTAAGCTAAAACGGCCTGTCCGCGTGTTATTAATTATTATACAATATTATTTTTAAATTACAAAAAATAATTAAAAACATAATCTTCCGATAATTATCTAATTTTGTTCAAAATTGAACTTGAAATATCTATTGAAAAGACTGTTGATATAATTATTAGATTTTCTTTAATTATTAGATTTTTTGGTAACTGTATGAATTACTATTATGAGTTTTGAGACACAGCTTGTTTAAAATTGTCAATCCTTAACTATACAAACTGAACATTTTATACATTTTTAACTACAAAATAATTTGCAAATTGTAGAGATTTTGATGAATATTGTCAACATTTTAACTTAAAATGCTCATGAAAAAAAAAGTACGTATATATTATTATATAATTCTTTTATAACAACTTTTTAGGAAACTTGTATTAAATTTTCAATCTTTTTGATCCAACAAAATGTTTTTATTGACATTTATCGAAAAAAAATACTTGTACATATAAACACACGAAAAAAACACTCATTATTATAAAATAAATACATTTGTAGGGTTACTTAGAATGTAAAATTATGAAATAAATTGTACATTACATAATAAATATTAAAAATAACTTAACAAACAAAAAATATATAAAACCAAGTACAAAGAATAATGTTATCACAATAAACAGCAATAAATTAATATCATGAATGTAATTACTGTTCGATTTTTCGTGAGTGTTAAATTTTGTTAAAGCACATTGAAAATAAGTACATATAAATACTCATATATAAAATAAGTCTGCTGACAAACTTAAACTTATTAAAACATAATATTTAATTATAAGTTTTTTTTGTGTAAATAAAAATTAAATTATTTTAAGTGATTTAAGCAGTTTTCTCTTAAATTTGTAGAAAAGAATAAATACATTTTTTTCACATACAAATGTTTTATTTTAAGTAAAATTTAGTATAAAAATGTAGGTAAAAAAAATTCAAGTTATTATACTATATTGGTCATAAATAGTTTACGCACATTTTAAAATTTTCCAATTAAACTCTGAACTCGTTTGCTCACAGAATATTTTAGATGTAACCACTAGATTGCTCACTAAACAGGTACCTTACAGTATTAATCAATCGTTTGTGAAATAATGCACTATATAGACATAATAGTATATTATGTCCTGATGTTTAAAATTATTTATTGTTAATTCATATATTATTTATTTATTTGTTTATACAAGAATTATTTTTAAGTGCCAATAGTTTTTTTTATATAACATACCTATTTTGTTTTAATATTTTTATTCAATAAAAATGTATGCTTACAATCTGAGATCAAACGAGACTTAAGAAAAAATAAGTTGTAATTTTAGTAAATGTGGGCTAGCTAGGGCTCTCCATATTGACATAATTAAATACACTTGGTATGAATTTGACCTTTGCCTCCTTCATTATATTCTTGACAGCTAAACCACATTTGTTGAAATGTTCCGGTCGATGCTATTATTGAACCACCAATCCAGGCACCAAATCGTCTCTCAACAGATCCATTAGGTGAAATCATTTTCAATCTCATACTAGGTGGTACACGAGCTGTGAGATCTCGATTTAATCTCTCTGGGAAACCCTTTTGGCACATAAATATTAAAATCTTACATTAATAAACAATTGTATTTAAGAATATAGTTTAAATAATGATCAAAATATAATATTTACTTGTATCAATGAATTTCCACCAGTGACAACAATGTTATTATATAACGTAGGTCTTATGTCCACATCACACATCCCTGCGCTAGTGACAACAATATGGCTCATGCTTAACATAGAACCACCCATATTAGGGCTAGGATCAAATAACATTTCTGGTATTTTGAATCTTTCATTGCCGAACTCCTTAAAAATATAATATTAGTTTAGTTTGACCTTACTATTGTGGTTATATAAAAAAAGGTTTTTACTAAACTTTAGACGTAAGTAATAGTGCAATTGTTTTTTATTTGGAGAATCATTTTTGACTAATATTTGGGGGATTTTAATTCATAATAGATATTTCATTAACTTGCATTTAAAATTAACCGATATTGTTTTTAAAGAAATAACTTGTAAAATAAGTTGTATGATCAATAAATTACTATAATATATTGATTTCAACAAATAATTCGGTAAGATCCTACAGTATACTACGATTGATATGGGCGATTGTAAATTCCACCGATTTATAATCACGATTTTAGTTCTTTAAGGTTTTTTTAATAATAACATAATATAAATTCCATTGATACTTTTCATTTACCAGAAAAAAATTAGCTCCAGTACGAATTTTTCACCTTTAAACTCCAGCGATGGTAAATATATTTTTTTATTAATTTTATTTTAATTTTCTAGTGATCATTATTTATAATTAAACAATGATATTGGTATTTTTGTCGAGTGTTACTGATGGGTAGCTACTCCCCTCAAGCATTCACTACCAATTATATTTTACGAACATATGCTTATTGTAAAAATGTTACAGATTATATGTATTTTAATAAATGTAAAAATAAAGTAAAGGTATTTATTTTTATTTTATTTAACTAATAATCAACTTAATATTATTATTTACTTGATTGTAGCCATTAGGAAACTCATAATGAGAAGTTGGTAGAGTCGATACAATTTTTTCATCATATGGAGTTTCAGATACTTGCAACACAGAATGCTGAAAATCTTGAATAACTGAATTACACATATAATTATACCACGAGTCCGTCACTTCTGGTAGTGTCCTTTTTTTTATCCATACTGGTTTTTCTTTTTCTTTTACTATTGTTTTTTTGTCAATCATGTAATGTGGTGTCACATCGATATTATTTTCCTACCAATGATAAAAATTGAAAAATCAAATAGGTCATTACATTACTATAACAATTTTATTCTACTTACAGCCAGGAACTCTTTGCATTGCATACTAATGAAATTTCCACCAAAAGGACATTTGACAATGGCAGATTGTATTACATACCCGTCGTGCACGGGAATGGCAGATGTATGTATTGCGCCACTATCAATAACAAGACCAGTAGGACGGCCACAAGAAAATGCAGCTAAGACAGCATTTCTACAAAGATAAACAGCCGGCACATGATATTTTTCAAACATTAATTCCACCAGTTTCTCCCTTTTGGATTTTGTATTGAATGGTGATTCACTAAATAATACTGGATGATACTTTGGCTCTGTGTGTAAGCACTTTGAGTAAGAATAATCAATAATCTTTTCGAATAGATCCCAATCATCTATCATGCCGTCTTTCATACAGTTTTTCACTACTTTGTCTAGAAATAAAAATAAAATATTTTATTAATATACAACTTTTTTTTCTGTACTGCCTAGATGGTATTGGGTACATATTTAATTTTTGGTCGAATACACTTTTGCTAAATTGGCAAAAATGATACAACGTATTTAACTTAAGGTTAAGGCTGTTGAAAGCTGATCGTTTTTGACGGGTTGAATATAGGCAACATTATTTATCCATTGGGAAATTGCTATGAGAGTGTATGCGTAGAGACTGATCTTAAGTGTGAGTGAGTTCCCCGAATAACAATAAGTATGTTTAGGTACCCTGGCATCGAACGTTTCCGGGAACAAATAGCAGTTCGCACACGCATGCACAAGTCATAGCATTTAATGAAATAAAATATTTTATTTCAACGAGCCAAAAAGATACAATATTGTGATCGTGAGTAATCGTCAAATAATCTTAAGCTAAAAACAAGTCATTTGATGGAACAATCATGAGCGCAAATGAATAGCGTTTGCTATTGAGTTGGAGGGGGGCTGAAGCCCTACTATAATAATATTAAAAAAATAGTAAATGTTTTGAGGTCAAACTAGGAGGGGTCCTTATTTACACCTTTAGAAATAATTAATAAAGATACATTGATGTCAAATTATCACATCACTACTACATCTCATTAAACATTTTTATGTTTCATTACGTATTATAAATAATTATAATGATAACATTTTAAATTAAAAGTCGGCCAAGGAGCACAAAACTACTTAAGGTAACAGCACAGATATATAAACATACTAGATAGCGGAAAACGTTATACAATTTTTGCGTTTATCGTTATTCATAATTAAAACGTTATACAATTTTTGCGTTTATCGTTATTCAGAATTAAAACGTTATACAATTTTTGCGTTTATCGTTATTCATAATTAAAACGTTATACAATTTTTGCGTTTATCGTTATTTAAAATTTAAAAGTATTTAGATACCTGTTTTAAAAGTACACAGGCCGCAATTTAAAAGTATACGACTGTGACCTTTTTTTGGGGACATAATTTCCCTATTCTGAGTTTTAAATAGGTATTGTTAAATTTTATTTATTTAATTAAATGGGTTCAACTAATATAAAGAAAACGTATGCACGTTAAAACTATAAGTATATTAGTATAAAATATAAATATTAAACATTTGACAACAATTAGACAAACACTGACGAGTGAATAAATCTGAGCAAACTGAACACCGAACACAATAGTTGAATAACTTGAGTGGTATAAATTTCGACCGTAGTACAGATAGTACAGTACAATATTATCAGAGCATCACTATTATTAGCTATTGGTAATTAAATTATTCTATTAATAACTTCTTATTAAGTTTTAAAATAATATCTAATACGGGATCTCCCGGATAGGCCGGATACGGAATAAAATTAATTCTTGGATTGAATAAATAATTGAATACTACTAAGTATTATTAAATAATTGGGAATTAATTATTTCGTTTAATGGAAAACAATATATACCGTTTTGCGTTATGTTTTGTTTAATGATACATCATATATTTTGTTAAACGTTACGTTTTGTTTTGTGTTATTTATTTATTTACGTTTATCGTTTTCCGTTATAATTACATTTACAAATTTCAATCGTTTTTTATCAAATATAACATTATAATCATAACGTTATTATAAGGTTTGCAAGCCCTGATACATATACATATAATATGTACACAGTTTTTTGTATAGCTATTTTAATTTTTAAGTTTAAATTTGGACAAAAGTGCATGTCTATATATTATTAAATAACCAAGAATAATGATTTTAGTTATACAAGTATAATATGATCTAGTTTTTTTAATATGTATTTATCAAAATTATAATTTATCATTGGCTGTTATCAGTTAATATTTGTAAACATTGCCGTGGTTGCATATGGCGGAACAAGACACACTTTTCGGATTGACGTGCGCTATCTAATATGTTTATATATCTGTGGGTAACAGTCAATGCTTAATTTGCATGTAACGTAAATAATTAACGTAATTTAGATCTATATTTACCTTTACGAGGGACGCGCAACGATGTAACATCAATGAAATATTTCGTGTTTCCATTGATCCGGCTGCCGGATTTCGCACCTGGTTCCAACGCACTCGTATCTGGTGTGCCGTCGTTCAATATGCCAACCATGGACGGCACTTCCGATTTTGGGGCATCATCTTGGGCGGCGCCGATGCGGATCGATTCCGATCCCAAGTCGAACACGATCGCGCCGATTTCGTCACCGCCATACAACATGTTGATATTCATGTTTCTGATTTACTGTTCACAAAAGTAAATAAAACACAATATTAATAATGAAAATACAATTTCCAATGTATAAAGAAGATGTTGGAGATTAAGAATAATGGCGTATTTTACGAATACTTATCACGAACACTCAAAATAATAATAACATTAACAATCAGGATGCCGAACCACAGCTGATGACTATTAAACAGGCTTGTTTTTGTTGTATTCATTAGATAAACGTACTTACAGTGTTGCCAAATTTTCCGTATTATTGTGTATGCGTCATTTTGAAAACCCTGTGTAGTTATCTCGGACAAAAAATCAATAAGCTACAAGGTTGGTGGAGATATCACCGTGTGTGTGTGTGTGTGTGTGTGTGTGTGTGTTGGCTGGGGGGGAGGAGGGGAGAGAGTGTCAAATATTGATTTGAAACATCTACGTGAGGGTGAAAACGGACAGCTGCGTATCATCCATACGTGAACATCGAAGGGAGCGGATTCACTTATACCTTTATTCTCTGAATCCTTTCACACTAACCCCTCGAATCTTCGTAATTGTCTACCTCTCTTACCTGTTATGATTCAAGAATTGCTCGGGCCATATAAAACCTTTACAACAATAAAGCATTATTTATGCATTTGAACATATTTGAGTACTTTTTAGTGTGCCAATAATTAAAACGAATTCACACTACCGAATTCACCCGTGTCTTAAAGCAAAAAACTTTTGAACCGTTCAGCGGATTAGCACAATTGCACATCCCAAAAGTACCACCCAAAACGAATGTCTTGCCAAAATAATGAAAATTATAAAATTAATTAGTAGTCACACCTTCATAAAAAAAAACATAGAAATTAAACATTTTTTTTTACAAATAATTTTTATAAAAAAAGAATACTAAAATTAATAAATCAAAAACATTTTTAAAATCATAATAATATTACCCATAATACATCCTAACTATAACGTTATTCAAATTTAATAATTATATTATTAAAATTGAAAAACATAAATAAAATACTTTGTATAATTCAAACTTAATTAATACTTTTATAAAAAGGAGAGTTGATGGGCAAAAATAATGTGGAGATTAAAGAATTGTATCAAAAATCCAATATAGTAGTAACTATATGATAGAGCCGAAACTTTTGGGCTTGCTACGGGTGGTAAGTACTAAAAATAATAATTAATAATCACTTCAACAATTTTGGTTTAGATTGAATATTGTATATACTTATACAGATCTAATAAAGTATTTATATTAAATAATTCATTGAAAATAAAAAACTATGAACTTAAAAAAACAACTATTACAACTTTATTAATACTCTTAGAGTCTTTAATTTTAATTCTAATAAATTGTAATCAAGTTAATAAAATTGTAATCATATACAAATAGAATCGAAAAAATAATAATACCTAACAATAGTAAAACGGCTTTCGATGAGAATGATATATTAATATCTCGAGAGACCCTACGATACTCAACGACAATAATATGTCAATAAAATATTTTAACAACCTATATGTAATACTAAATTGACATTTATACAATCTAATATTTTTTCAAGGGTTATTATTTATCACTCACTTTCAGAACGATATGATTTTTTTTTAAGTAAATTCCATCAACCATCTGAAGCGGGGGACATTTTTGGCATGTCAATGTATAGTTATATTTTAGTCTTACGATTATATTATACTTTTTATCTTTTATTTACTCAACATAGGAGCCATAACGTAATGACTGTTTAAGTAAATAACCTCGAGTATCAAACATGGCAAAATAACGAATACTAACAAAATAAATATGAATATTTTTTGTTTACTTTTGTCTCCCAATACGTATTATAAAAAAAACATTAGAAAATTCTATGAAATATAAGAAGAAACCATCTGTAATGTATAATAGGAAACGTTTTTTTTTTATTTTGATTTCATTCTTGCCAGTCATATTTCTGCACTCATCGAAAAAATATTCTAAAAATATAAAATATAATATTAGATTTTTGATAACTCTTGAATATTGAATGTTTTTTTTTATCGATTAGTAATTTTAACGTATACAATTATTTAATCAAATGTATTTATAATTTATAGGTGCACATATTTTATTTTTTTATTGTTATAAGTATAACACATTGACGGTCACACCATGCTATGATAGTCATAATTTTTAAGTCATAGGACACCATTCGTATACCATGAATGCCATACCATTAGCCAATTGAAAGTGATGATTAATTGACAGAATTTGTTGTAAAGCTTTAGCAGTTAATGTGTTAAATTACAAGATATAAAGTGGAGTATGTTTATTTGTGAAGTAAGAGTAAACCCACGGGGAGTTCAATGTGGGCCGACGCAGGTGTTGTTACCCGCAGTGGTTGGTGAGCTAGGTATGTGACCACTGGGAAGAGTGCCCTAGCATAATACAATTGAATAATGTATTATTACAATTATACTTGCCTATGTTTTTCATTATTATTGTTTTGTAAGTTGCGTTTTCATAAACGACTCCGTAAGTCGATTAGAAGATATGTCTACTTGAGTCGCTTGATTAATATACTTTTCATATTGCATGTTTGTACTATAGGAATACAATATTAATATAATTAATAATTATATTGTTACACTTAAACAGATTTTAATCAACTGTTAATATGAGTTTATAAAATAAATAATAAATATAATTTATATTATTTTTGATCAAATAAAAAAAAAAATCAACAACCTAAAGTTTATTTTAATTACATATTAATTGTCTACTTACAATCCAAACACAGCTATAATAAAGTACAGAATTTGTTTTGTGAATTTATTAACACTTATTAAATAACATTAAAATATAATAGTTCAAAATCATTTTTGAAATATAATTTTTTTTTTTTGAAGTTTCAAGCTACTAAATTCTATGGTTATTAGTTTTAGTTACCTATTACTTACTGTCATAAATTATATTTTTAAAATCAAAAAAAAAACGGTATTGTTATAACAAAATAATTCTGTGAACACTTTTTATCTGAATGGAAAACTACTAAAAACTTCAATAGGTATCATGAATTCTCCAATAATTGAAAAGAGTAAAATCTGAATGATAGCTTGAACGTGTAATTTTTCAATTTTTTTCAAAGTTTTCTACAAGCGGGAAGTTAGAATAAATTACTATAATGACAGCGTAGAAAATGTTAAAGTGAATATCAGATAGATATGTCAAATAAGTGTCACTAAATGCAATTTTCCCGAACTCCGTTTGATTATTTTTAAAGACAATTGATTTACCAATTGCCTGAGCATCCTGGTTTTTGTAATGGGTATCCAATCCGACATAATTTTATATTAATTTTGATAAAATATCGATACCTATGCATTCAGATTTTAAAATTTAAAATTGAAGTACAAGATTATGTTACTATATTATATAATTTAACAGATTATATTGTTTTGAATATTCATATTATATTTTAATTCAAGGTTAGCTAAAGTAGGTACCTACATATGATACATAATATATTATTTACTCTAACTTTACGTCATTTATTATTTTAGAAATGTACCTATAAATGAACTCAGATAAATTAGTTTTACCCAACTTAAACTTCTAAGTTCAAAGAATTGAATGTAATTTAACATTTTAGGTTCAACGACATCAAATGTTATGCCTACCTACCCACCTACTACAATATATAAAAATTATAGCTCTCTGCTCTATTCTTAACGAGCTTATTAAAATATAATATTGTTTTCAAACTAAAGTTCAGATTACCAGAGTTGTATAATTCATTAATTAATACCCATTTTATTTAGTTATATACTATATAGATATATTATAATTAATTATTATAGTGGATTAATTAACCGTCAATCAGGCAGTACCTACAGATATGAAACTACCAAATATCAGAATACACGAAGTATAATTTTCCCGACTACCCGTCAAATTAAAGCAAACGGGTATCAAATGGTTAGTTGACAATGTTGACATTCGTTGAGTGTTGAAATTTGTAAGGATAAATAAAATATTCATATTATAATAGGAGTCTACTATGCGTATTGTGTCTATTCGTAATATAGCTTGAATTGTGTTTGTTTGAGGTGATGATGGCGTATAATTAGTAATTAAGGATGGCGGGGGTGGGAGATGGATTCTCTTTGGTTTTTACTATTTTAGGCCAACTAAAAATGTTCTAAAAATAATGATTCATTTTGTTAATTGGTATTCACCATAGAATGACATGTATCTACACTATACGGTAGCCTGAAAATTAGTGATCAAACTGTCTGGAGGGTTCCTAAGGCTTCACAATAGTAATCTGTAAGGGCTTCGAGAACATATCTGAATTAAATTAAAATAAAATAATATTTTGTTTATCATGTTTTATTAATAATAACTTGCATAATTTGTTTTGTAGTCTAACATTATGTTAGATGGTCGAAGATTTTATTGCTTTAATCATTTATGTTGTTTATTTTAATATTGTATTATAATATAAAGAAACATATCTTTTGTGCATCATTTTTCATGAGTTGTGTACATTTTAATTCCAAATTTTTAAGGCTCCGCAAAAAAAAAAAAAGTGTGATGACCTGTAATAGATCTAGACCGTTACAACAGCACTGCACCCAGCCTACATTTTTTTGTATTTTTATTTTACTGCAGACCGTTGCTACACAGGATAAAGTAGGAAAGTATCGGAAACTTCAAAAGAGGGTGTTAGAGGCGAAGCTCCCCACCACCACGTATGTGATTCAATTCCTTATTTCCTAACTTAAACATTTCTAAATAGGCCTTTACGTAGGGAGGGGGCTGTAAGGGTCTAATCAGAAATGGCTTTATTTTCATCCGTAAAATAATTTAAGCATCTAAGTACTATCTACATCTAATACCTATGTGTTAATAATTGTAGCGTTATAGATTTGAATAGAATACGCATTTAATAAAACAACAAATTAGATTAAGTTATAATATAACTACAAAACTACCTACTAAGATAAATAAAAAAAATTACACAACTATGCTAATAATACTTACCTACCCAATTTTTGGTTTTTATGTTAAAAGTTCAAAATTTCAAACCAAAATAGTACTAATATATTATCATTTTAAAACATTAAAATTTAAGATAATAGAAAAAAATATGTAAAACCAAACATAAAGGCCAGTATAATTCTGTACTAACAACATAATAAAATCAATTAAGATTTCAGATCCAAGATTTTCTGAAGCTTCAATGCTACAGAGCTGAAAATATTAATTACCAATAATTGTTTTAGATTAAATATTTGATATGTCATACTTAGATATTATATTTATATTGTATATTGCAACTTAAAATTGTTGGCTATATTAAAATTAAGGTTTTGAATGCTTTAGATTGTGCCAATTTCATTAACTGGATTTGGACCTAGAATTGTTCCAATTAGGTGGCTTACTTTGAGTTTTTTTGTAAATATTCTAATATTTTTTGTTATAAACTTTTAGATGTATTTAAAAATTAGAACAAGAAGGATTGTTAGTAGTCAATTGTATAATATATTGTTACTTACAACTCAATTAAACAAAAAATAAAATAAAATCCTTATACAATTTAATTTAGTTTTGTCGTAGATCAAAAAAACTTGCATACAACACAGAGATAATAATAATTATAAGCAAAAAATGAGCAGTTACAATATTTTATTTAAGGTATAAACATTGAACAATTAAATAATTAATAATAATTAACTTGTTTGGGTATCTAATTGGGAAATTTTAAATGAATTTAAATTAATTATTATGTTGTCCTTATATCAAGCATTGTGCGCATTATAATAAAGTTATATTGAAACATTATACATGCAAAGAAAAGATTAAAATTTGTAAAATACAGAAAAAAATAATTGAAAAAAATATAATACTTTAAAACAAACAAAACATAAAGGTTAGCAAATACTCAAATCATTACATAAAATAATGTAAAACAACTTTTTTCAAACACGATATAAGTAATAAGTATATAATATTATAAACATATAGATAAAAAAAAAACATTTGCTTGAAATACAAACATATTATATTTTTCATAACTTTTATCAACAGCTATAATAATAAAAATATTTATAAATATAAACAGTTAAAATTATAGTATGAAAAAAAAATAAAAAAATAAACATTGCGTATAAAATGGGTTACATATATAACATTTTTTCAATCAAATACAAAGTTTTATAATTAGGGTTTGGTAACAGTTGACTGAGGAAGAGGTATTTTTTATTTACCCAAACACACACACATACAAAAGCACACACTCACACAAAGTATAATAAATATTTTGTGAATCAAATATTACTCTTAAAATTAAATAGTTTGTATTAACTAGTTATAATAATAGATACCCTTTACATGGTTTTCATGATCAAGTTTTATCAATATAAATGTAGGCCGTGAAATTGTATCAAAATGAATTGTTCATAGTTTATTGTAAAACCTACCTTTCTTAATAGTTAGGTAATACAAAGTTTGAATTATAAAATAATAAACCCAATTTTAAAATTGTTAATTCTTCACATATTTTTTATTTTTAGGTCATTTTTTGACAATTTCTATTTGATTGCATTTGACTGTACTTTTAAAAGTGTTCAGCAATTAAATTTTTTTGTACTTCACCTGTGTAAATGATAATTTGTAAAGTCAATTTAATCACAAACAATTGACAGTTATTTTTATTTGAAAACATCACTTGTTGTTTAATTCAATAATAATAGAAACAAACAAGAAAGGCACAAATAAATATTTTCTAAGAAAAAAAATTGTTTTAGTCAAGTAAATTTACAAGTTACAATATCAATTTTAGGAACAATTTATTTATTATTCTTTAGTGTATTAAATTCACAGCCCTATTTAATATTGTGATATTGTATTTATATGCTGCCTACTTCCAAGCAATAAAATCAATTTAATACATAAAAATATTGTTTCTCGATATGTTTGGTATTTGTAAATGTTCAATGATGAAGCAATTAAATGTATAAACTATAAGTATTAGGTTTTGTATTTATTTGTAAACCTATTAGAGTATTAAACATATATTATATTAAATTTCCATATTTTTGTATAAAGTAGGTGGTTAAATAAGATTAATTTAATTAAATCTGCAATTGTTGATTCATGTTTACATACATACTTTATTATTAGGTAGCTTAAGAAAGTTACAACAAAGACATCAAAAAATTTAACAGGTGGGTATAAGTATATGACACATATTCCACTGAGGTATCTGTAATTAAGTCATTGGACTCAAACCAATCTAAAAACATTACTAATAAAACTATTTTGTTTTCTTCTCAATTTAATAATATGAATTTACATAATTAGCCGGCTCATTGCAATACAGAGGTACATTTAAATATGTTATAAATCCTTGAGGTGGTGAACTTGGTATATTGTTGAAGTTTATAGGTGGAGTGTGTGGCAGAACATAGTTGGGTGTTGTGTTACCATTAATGGAAGAAGTCACCGAAGATACATCTGGGTTAGAATACATATCTTTGATTTCAGATACACACTCCAAAATTTTGAGTTTCACATCATCAATGGCACGAATACAGAAATCTTCTATGTCTGCTGACACACTCTTAAAAAATAAATCCATTGTCTTAGTGATCCCTAATTGTCCATTAAGCATTTCAATTTGTTTTTGCAAGTTGAATAATATTGTATTTCCTCCGTCAAGGCGTGTACATTTTTCACCAGTGGAACAAGACAAATTATCTGGCGATACATTTGAGTTATGATACATTTCCCTGACTTCAGAAACACATTTTAAAATCCTGGGTTTTATGTCATCAATTGCACGAGGGCAGAAATCTTGAACATCCAATAATACGCTTTTAAAAAACAAATCCAATGATTTAGTAGTTTCTGATTTATTATTAAGTATTTCAATTTGTTTTTGCAAGTTTTGTAAAATCGTATTTCTTTCTTTTGATTGAGCAAGTTTCTCAGCTAAGTAACAAGACACCGTGTCTGGTGATAGTTGTGGCAATGTAAATTCTCTGCCATAGGCAGTCTCATCAGCAACGTGTTCTCCATGTTCATTTTTCGATTCTTCACATTGAACATCTGAAGTGGCGCTGTGAAATGAATTAATACTAACAATAACATATCTAATCACTTGTGTACTAATGGAAATACATAAAAATAACAGGGGTGGAAGTTTATTTTTTAAATCAAAGTTCAATTATAGTAATAAAATAAATTAGGATTAGAAATTTTTAATTTGTTAAAAAGTTAAGAAAACTTCTATTTCGATAAATACCTAGATATTCATCAGTTAAATTAATGTTGCATTAATAATTATTAATCAATAGTCGTAAATATATGAGTAAATTTGTAACTTACTTTTGTTCATATTGAATTGTGACCGTAAATGAAGTATTGTCAAGTATTTCAATTTGCTTCTGCAAGCTATTGTACAATATTTCATTTCTTTCTTTTAATCCCTCGGCCAAAATAACCGCTATTTTGTTTTCTTTAGATTGGGCACTTTTCTCAGCGGAAGAAGAAGATGGCAATGCCGAACCATCACCATGTAAAAACTTATCAAAGATCTGCTCCCCAAGTTCCAATTGTACTTTACCATTTTGAATGCTGTAATTTTTAATTTTTGAATTATAATTATTTTTCAAATTTTAGTATATCTTATAATTTTTGTGTTGTATCATTTGTTTGTTGTTTCTACATATGTCTATTGGGTGATATATTTCTCTAAGTTTATAAAAAGCCTAATATGTACATCAAACTATTTTAAAAGATATTAGTTATTTTCAAAATAATCAAATTGTCTATATAATTTGTGTAAAAACTTAAATCAATAAATACAGTTGTTTTAAATTATTAGAAATAAAAAAAAATCAATCTGAATGTTTGATATCCATTTTAAGTCAATATGCATCTACCTACAAACCAATATTAAATAAAATAATACAGTTCTTGACATGTAAATAAAAAAACTTAACAACTCTATAAGGTCAGTTTTAGAACAAATTCTGATGTTGATCTGAATTGTTTGTACAAATGGGAAACTTTTTTTGGAAATTCGCACCTAAAACGTTTGTATGTAAGAATAAATAACAAAAACTTAAAAATCCTCGAAGGTTGTTCTATATGACAGTTAATTTAATGATATAGGAACAGACTCAATAGCTGGTACGTAAATAGAATCATTTAGTATATACATTCAGTGGCTTAGACACTGGGGTGCTGGGGAGACTATAGCCCCTCTCGATATTTTTAGAAAATTAAAAAATTATTTCTATGGTCTATAAAAGTTACTGCAAATTCGAATTTGTATATCCGTATAGAAACCGAACTTTAAAATAAAACATCAACATGTTACATAACTATACTAAAATTAAGGGAGACCCCAGTTAAACCAACTCTGTGCAAACGCATTATCAGCCATCACAAAAAAAATTAATTATGAAAATAAAATTATATCATTAAAATCATAAGACCAAAACTAAGATAAATTAGCAAACATTTTTAAGGGGATTAATTCAAGCAAAACATACCAATCTTTTGTCACCATACCGACCAACCTACACTTTTGAAAACTGTTTCCGCCCGATCCGACCAATTCACGGAGTGTCTAACGCGTACCCCTGGTAATATCGAGATCGATCAGTTCACTTTTTACAATTGTATTCCCGAACTCCTAAGAAACTTGAATGAAATATTTTTAAATGTAAGTCATTTAACATGTTAATCATTCGGAACAGATATTTCAAAATGTGGACTGATTGATCTCAATTAGACATTACAAAGACTTCAGATCACACACGTGCACTATCGTGGTGACTTGTACGTCATCATAGTAGAGAGAGTGCGAATGCGTATGCCACAATGTAATGCTGCCACACACAAATTACCATTTAGCACTTAATATTGCCTATACTAACTCCTTAAACATACATCACCACTAATCCCTTAGCATAGGTACTTTAAACGTTAATTATTAACTATTAAATAACAAAATGTTCAATATTATAATTTACTTTAATGTTAATTTATTGAATATTATATCTAATTAGTAAGGTACTATACATTATTATATAATCACTCGTAACTTACTTTTTCCCACACGGATTTTCATCTAGAAATGATACATAAGTTGATAATGACCAATTGTTATATACTGACGATCCATTTACCATATTTTTATTCTTCAAGTAAAAAGCCTTTATATTTTTCCATCTTCTCTTGCATTGATACACTACATATATAATATATTAAATTACTGATTACATATAATTATGGTTAAAGTTACAATTAATAGCAAAACAATTCTAACATAATAAATCTAAAAACCAAAATATAGTAAGTAGTTGCAAAATAATCTGGTCCTACGAAAACAAAATTATAAAAAACTAACCTTAAAAATGTAAAAGCTTGGAAAAAAACCGTTCAAATTTTAAAGTGAACCATGTCGGTAAAAATAGATCATTATTGAAAATCAAGATATTTAGATTTTAACACTTAAATAGGTAAAAATTGGTATGCAAGTATGATGTATAGGTAACTAGGTACATAACCATGTTTTTATTTATTTAAATAATTTACCAAGCCCATAATAATGGCTAAAAAGAAAATAAACATCTGTTGCAGCAACAGGTCAGTAAACGATCATGGATGATGGACAATATCGTTTTTTTGAACCACGACTCGTCAAGGTATTATTTAAGTATTCCAGTTCTCGAATGAACTTCAAAGGACGATACTCTCCCTAACTTTGGTATCAATTTACTCACATATAAACATCCCACAGGCCACCATCCACTAACTTTCGCCAATATAATTTACGAATTACGAGTGATATTCTTATGGCATAAAATAAGAAATTATTAATTGTATACAATATATAATAATATTATGTTTAGATGTATACGTTTGTCTTTATTTCCATTATAAACATTTTTTTTTTAAACTATCATACTCCCTCTCTTTAAAACTACAAATATTTTAAAAATGTTCGTTCCTATAATCATAATTCATAATACAGTGTTGTGTTTTATCTAGATAAATTTATCGACATATATAATTGTAATATTTTATGACCTATGTAGGTAAATGTATAATAATACTATATCATAACATAGTAGCTAATCGATCACACATGCAATACGATATCATAACTAGGTGCACATCCGAAGGGTTTTAGCTCCCACCTTGGAAATGTCATATAATATTATGTATTTATATTTATACAATAAATACTTAGTTCACATAGGTACAATTAGGGAGGCTTAGTCCCACAGTTTTTAAATCACATTTTAGTTTAAAATATTAATCATCATTATTTTAGGCTGCTGATATAATTCTAGCCCCAACCCCCATGCACAGCAGAAAAATACCCCTAGTTGAGTCTATATGTGTCAAAAACTCGTAAAAATTTAAAATATTACCTAACACAATTGTTATGAAATCCTATCTATAATATTATCTATAATATATTGATATTATATCATGTGCAAAGATTATAATTGTATTTTTATGAAAAAAAATTGCCCCCCTCATTTCAGATCTCTAGATCTGCGCTTGATCATAATATGACAATATTACTGTTATTATTATTATTAATATACTGTTTACCCGATTTCCCGATCTCAATTGATATTTCGTTCCATATACGGTCCTTGAACGCGATGTCCTTATGCATTTTGTGTTTGGCGTCATACAGCTCGCGGTTGTTGCGGATCAAGTCGATCAAGACGATGTCGTCCTCGTGGGTAAATCCGTTGACGTTCGGCATACCGTTGGGTCCGGGAAACGATACCTGCAATACACGTCCTTCAACTGCTGTGGCAACTGCGACACAGACCCTCCGTCTCCTCGATGGCTGCGACACAAGCTAGTGCGGGGCAGCGCTAGTAAACATTCGGACCAGCGCAGTGAATATTATTAGAGAGTAGTTATATTACATCATACATACACACGCGCGCTGGCGGCGGAGGAAATTGATCGGCGATGAGCGAGAAAGTGAAGTCTCCCCCACGCCTGTGGTTTCCACCCCCCCTCCCCCCACCACTACCCGAAATGCACTATCCACCAATCCACAAAGGTCTCCTTTGGTCGTGACTTGGGTCAGGGTAGGTATTTTTTATTAGTTTCGTAAACGGTTCAAAAATCGGTTAATATAATATTGTGGAAAATAATGTAATATTAAATAGTAATATCATAATATTTAAGGAATACGTTCGTTTGTTGTAAAAGGTTTTTCTTTAAATAAAACATAGTATTATACAAACAACATTTATTAAAATATATTATTATTAAATTTTCTTTTGGACCGAATGAAATAACCTAAACTAACCTAACCCACTCCTCCCACTGAATTCCTTTTTGCCAAAATGTTTCTTGTGTCTGTATTATGTAGGTACCTAATGAGATATTTTTAATTTTTTCACTGTAAAACGAAATTAACCACTACATTTTGATTACTATTTGTTTGTTTTATGCATTAATACACTTTGAGATTTAGCAAATGCCACTTTGATTTCATTTATATGTAGGTAGGTACCAGGTACCTGCTGTACAGTGATATATATGTTTTTATTGTATATGGTTATACCTATGTCGCTTGATTTAGTTCGAAATTGGTTAGTTATTTAAGCATTTTCCTCTCGTCGTATCTCTCATTAAACCGACATTCTATTTTGAACGATTTTTTTAAAAATGTTAAAATACGATAAGCAATACTTACCTATATTTTAACATGAAAAATGAAATTCTGGAATTATTATATTATTATAATATATAATTATTAATATTATAAATTATTTCTGGCTTGCAATATAATGTTAACATATTATTACCACCCCAAGCACAAGCTTCGGTTATTGTCGAGTGTCATAATGTGGGGGGGGGGGAGGTCATGATTTTGATTTATTGTTATTTTCGTATTTTGTATGTTCGGCTACACGGCAAAACCTCGTAAGTCACTTTTATCAAATTGTTGAGGAATAGCAAAAAACTGTGACACCTATTAATATTTGTAAATTATTAAAAGTTATAACTTCAATCACCATTTTTAATCATTTCACATTGTCGAAAGATCAAAAAATCAATATTTTGATATAATTGTGTAAAAAATTAGACTTACGAGTTTTTGATTTTTAATAAATTTGACTTACGAGTTCTTGTAATTAATTCAATTTACTTACGAGGTTTTGTTTTTGAGTACTTTGAGTGTACTTGAGTGTTTTTGAGACTTACGAGTTTTTTGTGAAATTTCAAAATTCTTTTATTTGTAGTTTGTACAAAATCATAGACATATCATTCAACATTACAATATAATATAAAAAGTACAAAACGTTATAAAATTATAAAAAAACTACTGATAGTATTATTTTAAAACATTAAAAATCTTTTATTATAATTGAGAAAAATAATTAACATAAATAAAAATATTTTTTTATTGAACTCATAAAAACTTTCTTAAACAAATTTAATAGTTAACTTCTTGTAACTAAAATATAATATATAAAATAATAATTATAATAAAAACGATGTTGAGTTAATACAGTTCACATATTTTTCCTAACTGTCTTGAAGATCTACTTTCTGTAAATGAAAATTTCCCCATTTCATTTTTCTTTAGACCTTTATAGTCTTGACCTTGCATTCTAAGTATTTTGTTTTTATTTTTTAACCATTCATGCTCATCCCCTTCTTCGTACTTAAGTTTCCGTTTTGCTTTTACTACAAGTTCTGTTAAACCACTATCATCTTTTTCCATTTCTATAATTTAAATCATTATTTAATTATGAATAGTAATAAATATTATATTTAATTGTATACATTAATTTAAAACTATCATTTACTTTGAACAGTAGGTAAATTATTTAATTCAACCATATCACAATACTTTTCTACATAAGAATTAGTAACTCCTGGTTCCATATTAAGTGTCATATTAATTTGAGTATTACAGTCCTCATTATATTCAATATTATCAGTCTCCAACTCTAATAAGTTATGATAATAATTGTATGAAATATGAGTAAAATATAATGTAATTTAATAAAATAAAACACCTATTTTAAATTTATAACATATTTTACCTTCAACTACAGAAAATGTATCAATATTAACCACATCATCTCTAACAAAATCAATCACAGAATTGCCAGTACTAGTATCTAAATCTTCTGGATCACTTAAGCTGTTTAAAAGTGATTGTATTTCACTATCTGGCAACATTTTTAATACAATAATGTTTTTAATTATTTCAAACGTTTAAAACAATAGAATGCATGTCATAACTCAAAGTCTCAAAAACGTATGTAAATGTATAGCGTATGTGGAGTATGGCAGTATGCTATTCATGATTCATTATAAAATCTACAATTGAGTAATTGACTTACGAGGTTTTATTATTGATACTATAGTTACGAGTTTTTGTTTGTGTGTATTATCTTATGAAAGTATCGGGAAAAATATAGATATTATGATATCAAAATGTGCACAAAAGTACAGTGCATCCAATAAAAGAAAAAAAAATTTTTTTTTTAATTTTGACTTACGAGGTTTTGCCGTGTAGCCGACGAATTATACTTAAAACTCAAAGAAAAATAACTTTTATCACCACCGAAGCACGATGAAGATAAATAATAATATAAATCTCGATCGTTCGTTGGTGATAAGATAATATAAAATAATAAAATTATGACCAATGAAGTAATCGAAATCAATGGGGTTCGACTATAATGGAAATCGTGACTGGGATTAAGGACTTTGACTGTCACCGGCAGCGATGAACAAAATCTCGCGGATCGAAATTATGAAATTGTTTGTATTTTACGGACCTACGAAGTCATAGAAAGCCACAATTAATTACATTTAATAATAATATTAATGACATTGACAGTTCTGACATCTTTGCTTTTTAGATTTAACTGTGGACATTTTCGTTATAACTGAAATAATCGATATTTTCCTAACCGATTTTTCATTATGCAATATATTTGATTGCAATTGCCTTGTTGAACATTTCTCGGTTTTCCGTTTATGATTTGTAGTTATTAATAAGTACAGTGCACGGCTCATGGTGAGGCGTGATTAATTTAATTCAATTAGCAAACGTTCTAAGTTAGGTTAAGTGTAATTTAAAACAAAACCTAGTGCCGTAAACAGAATTATTTTTTTAAGGGTTAAACGTAGGAGTACTGAGTTAAAAAATATTTGTGGAACTAACACTTTATTTTAGGAGTATTAAAATGCATTGTATTGTTGGTTTTTATATACACTTTATAAACCCTCCTTCCTATCATAGACATAAATAGGTAGGTATAAAAATAAAAAAGTCATAATTTGATAACAGATAATTGGAGTCTGGAGAGTAGATAAACCAGTGTGAAAATGTAATCGTTTCAAAATGGTTCGAATATAGCTTATAGAATATAGATAGAAAAATAAATTAAAGCACAATGACATTACTGATTTTATTTAAAAATAAAATTTGAAAATATAATATTTTAAACAAAATTTATTCTCTGTTTTTGTATCGATTTATAAGTACTATTATTTATTTTACAGTTATAAAATATAAATACAAGAAATACCTATGTATTTATTATTTCATACATTTTCTAATAGTTTTAATTTAACCACCATAATTCCACAGGTGTGTTTTTACTATTTTCTTTAATTTGAGATTACAACTTATAAGTTATAACGTCCAACAATCTTAATTTCGTGATAACTGCTAGTAACATAATAACGACTTAAAATGTATTGTTTTTTTTTTAAGATATGTCTTCAATTTATTAATGAGGTCGATATATATACGAATACATGAAAGCGAAACGTATTTTTAGTAATAGACAGTTAAAATGAAATTGTATTGAAATTAACGAAGTCTGTGATATATTGATGATTTTCATTGTTTATATTTTCACCTACTATGTAATGATGACAGTCCGTGAATATATTAAACGGGTGAGTTACATACTGTAGAGTGTATCGAGGGCAGAGGATTAAGAGATTTAATATGGTTTCATTAATTGTTACCTCTTTGAAAGGGAACATGAATGGCAAGATGTATGGAATTCGTATGGTTATAATAGGCAATTTGAACAAACAAACAGACAACATATATTATATAATGTATAGGCATTTAACATATAGCTATCTAGGCGTTTTATTATTATTAGGTACTCTGATTATTAGTAAAGATTATTAATATTATTATTGTTCGGGAACAAATAGTGTTTGCATTATCATCGTGTTAACTACTACTGAATGTGCTATAAAAATATAATATATTAGAGAAAAAAATGATAGAAAGTGTGTGAGAGAGAAATATAAATAACGAGTGGAGAGGGAGCAAGAATGAGACGAATAAAAATCAAAAATAGAAAATAGAGAGGAGAAAAATAAATATATAAAGAAAAATTGTAATGGCACGTGCAAGGAGAATGGCAGAAGAAACCACTGCTTTTGAAGATGACGTAGTTTTATATTGAACTTTTATCCGCATTGCCACCCACATACGCTCGTGCAGCTCTACGTTTTCATTACGTTGAATCCAACACATCACCCCGTCATAAATTGCCGAATGTTCGCCGAATATTGCTGAGGCAGTTGTATCAGTATATTATATAGGTACAATAGGAAAATAAAAGAGAGCCTGTTGCCATGCATATTATAGTATCTCTTATATTATATCTACCTACTCTACCATTTCGCTCTTTAAAATACATTTTTATTATTTCGAACCTCTCCAATTCTTATCATAAACACTGATTAGTATTTAATATTAACATACAAATCGATAGTTCATGTTCAAGCGTAAGTATCACTCGGCATAGTTATAATTATTGTCATTAGACAATAATTTGTATGTAGTGTAACGATTGTCGTCATCGACATCGTACAGTACTTCTTACGTTGAGCGCGGCTAATATGTTGAATTTTAGTAATGGCAAATGTGCATACCTATATGTATACAATATAATATATTCTGCTGACGCGATGTTTAGCACGCGCCGTGTTAATAACCGACCGGGACTCCGGGCAGTCGAACGAGAGTCGATATCGAGAGTCAAGAGTGAATAGATGATCGAGAGCAGATGGTCGAGAGTGGAAGTCGAGGGCTGACAACGACCCGAAGAAGACCCGTGGACGACCATTCAACTCACATTTGGATATCGGCACAAACGACACACCATGACCCGATCGGTAACCCTCAGTTACAGTTTATAAATACGCCTAATACTTAAACATGAATATATTACATTTATACATTAATATTTAATAACCAATACATTATATTATATATATATATATATACACACACGTTGTGAACTTTGCTCCGTATAAGGTAACCCTGATCCCTACCAATAATATCACACACCGAGGTCGAGTCCCCGAGACCTCGTAAAATTAAACAGATCGACACAGGTCGCGAGTAAGACCGAGCGATAGGTGGAAAGTGGACGTTACAATAGTATGTGTAGTAATATAAAGGCTACAATAACCTAACCTGCGGCAGAAGGGGTGTTATCTAATTCTTCTCAAAATCAAAATTAGTGATGAGTTCATCACTTCTGTTCTACATTTAGAACTGAAAAGAGAAATTTATATTTGTAACAAAAACAATAAATATAATACAGTTTAATACAATATTGTACAAATATTATTATGCTACTACCTACTACTTACAACATTGAATTTTTTTAATTCCAAATTTATAGTTGGTTAAATAATACAAAAAGTATGTACATATTATGTATTCTTAATTTATTTTACAGATCGTATAAACTCTACAAACGAGTTATGCATCCTGTGATAGCTAATGAGGAAAATTAAAGATTTATATAGGGAAATTGATAATTGTGTAAGTAGGTACCTAAGTAAAATAAATTAAACATAAATAAGTTAAATATTAATGCACTTAACAGTACACAATAAGTATATAAATTATGGGTACTGTGCTCCTCCGCCTACTGAGAAACCCGGTCATTAGATTCAGATTATCAGTTGACCTGTACCGTATTCGGTACTATCGTATTTGTCGAAACGGTGAATAGTATGAGAACATAAGTTTATGTGTATGGAAGTATTCATAAGTTAGTAGTTGCTACTAGCATAGGCGTAACTGAGATTTATTAGTTACAGCCGTTACAGGGGCTTGAGTTCTAGGAAACTTATGTTAAAAATAACTTTGGAGGCCCCCCACATCCCCACCACAGTAAGCGTAACTGTCCTCTAAAATCAAAATTAAAAATAAACAATAAAATGAAAGTATAAACTCATCATTAAAGACAAACTGTAAATAATAAAATAAGTACAATATATATTATAGGGGGCTAAATACACACATAGAGGGGCTAAGGCCCCCCCCCCTAGTTACGCTGATGCTTATGGCTTTAGTATGAGTGGCATCACTGGCATCACATCTCTTTATAACTCAATTGCCATACAAAGAAAGTGTCTATATTAAAACGACGACTGCACTAAATATAAAGGGGTTAGGCTATGAACATGTACCGATAGATAGCGCCGCAGTGATATTATTATTTGTTAATTTATTATTATATATTATCATCAGCGGTGAGTTTTGGTCTCCCATCGGACCAGGGTCGTATGCATGTACTAGTAGCTTCTCGATCTACCTTCGTTTGTCAGTTTTCACGTCGTCGGCGGCGGCGAGTGTCTACGGCGACGCCTCACTGGACATCACGACCACAGCATAAGTTCCTGTTACAAATATTCTGATGTTGATGATGTTAAACCGTTTTTATTTTAATAAGTTTGTCCATTCCTTTTGTGTAGGTACTATTATTCTTAACGTGGTGATTTTTAAGACCTCGGGGCTTCTACCTATACCTACTTCGGAACTGTAACTGTTTACGCTGTCGAGCTCTTGAGAACAGTTCACCCGACAACTCGCACCGTACAACGGTTGTTACCACTTACAATATTAATAAGTAAAAAACAAAAATAATACCATGTATGAATTGTTGCTACAAAATATTGTATTGATCGTTGCTAATAAACAATAATAATAATACAATTATACTAATGAGGACGTCTCGTGCTAATAATAATTAAATAATAAGTAAAAGGGTAATACAAAATACACAAAATATAATAATATAATATACGAAAAATAAATCGAAACCGGACTTAACAATGAGCGATATTGGCAAGTTCTAGAACATTCCTCGTTCGCCACGCGCCCACGCGGACCGGTTCGGGAAAAAAGCCGGAGGTTTGAACAGTAACCTATAATAGGTATTCAATATTTTTTTGAATTTTAGGGGGAGGGGCTTATAACTTTCTTTACAAAATAAGAAGTTGAAAAATGTCAAATCATTATGGGGAGGGGCTGATCC